GCAAGTAAGATCTTACTGAAGATAATTAAAAAATGGGTGCAGCAGTATATTGAGAGAACTGCCAGAAATGCATGCTGGATTCAGAAGAGGACGTGGAAGGGATATCATAGTTGCTCTCAGATGGATCCTGGCTCAAGGCAAAGAAGAACAGAAAGATGTTTACTTGTGTTTTATTGACAATGCAAAGGCATGTGATTGTGTGTATCATGACAAATTATGGATGACATTGAGAAGAATGGAAATTCCAGAACACTTGATTGTGCTCATGAGGAACCTGTACCTTGATCAGGAGGCTGTTATTCTAATAGAACAAGGGGACACTTCATGGTTTAAAATCAAGAAGGAAGTGTGTCGGCATTGTATCCTTTCTCCATACTTATTCAATCTGTATGCTGAGCAAATACTCCGAGAAGGTGGACTATACGAAGAAGAACACGGCATCAGGATTGGAGGAAGAATTATTAGCGATTCAGCGATATGCTGATGACACAACTTTGTTTGCTGAAAGTGAGGACAACTTGAAGCACTTACCGATGAAGATTGAAGACTACACTCTGCAGTATGGATTACATCTCAATATAAAGAAAACAAAAATCCTCACAACTGAACCTACAAGCATCATCATGATAAATGGAGAAAAGATTGAAGTTGTTGAAGACTTCATATTGCTTGGTTTTATAATCGACGCCAATGGAAGCAGCAGTCAGGACATTAGACAATGTATAGCACTGGGCAAGTTATCTGCAAGGGACCTCTTTCAAGTGCTGAGGAGCAAGGATGTCTCCTTGAGGACTAAGGTGTGACTGACACAAGCCATGATATTTTCAATTGCCTCTTATGCACGTGAGAGCAGGACAGTGAACAAGGAAGACAGAAGAAGAATTAATGCTTTTGAGTTGTGGTGCTGGTGAAGAATGCTGAAAGTACCATGGATTGCTAGAAGAACTAAGGGATCTGTCCAGAAGGAAGTGCAAGCAGAATGCTCCTTGGAAGCAAGAATAGCCAGACTTCATCTCACCTACTTTGGTCATGTTGTAAGAAGGGACCATTCTCTGGAGAAGGATGTCATGCTTGGTAAGCTCTTTTGTCAACCCTGACAAAAGAGGGAAAAGCCCTCAACGAGATGGATTGACACGGTGGCTGTGACAATGGGCTCCCATATAGCAAGGATCATGGAGTTGGTGTGGGACTGGGCAGTGTTTCATTCTGCTGTGCATAGGGTATCTATGAGTTGGACATGACTTGACGGCAGCTAACAACAACAGATGGCTGAGTGGGTGGATTGATGGATGGAAGGGTGGGTGGATGAATAGCTGGGTGCGTGGGTGAATGGGTGGATGGGTGGATGGGTCGGTGGGCGGATGGATGGATGGCAAAGTGGCTGGTTGAGTAGATGAATGGAAGATGGATGGATAGAATGGGTGGATGGATGGATGATGGATGATGGATGGATGGAAGAATGAGTTGACAGATAGCTGAGCAGGTGAATGAATAAATGGAAGGTGGGTGGATGGATGGATGGAAGGATGGATGGATGGATGGATGGGCAGATAGATGGCTGAGTGGGTAGATGGATAAATGGAAGGGTGGGTGGATGGATGGAAGGATGGAAAGCTGGATGGATGGATGGAAGAATGGGTGGATAGATGGCTGAGTGAGTGGGTGGAGGATGGATGGATGATGTTGATACTCAGAACAGAGGGAGTGGACAGATACATGTATTCAATTACTGACAGCATCCTCCCTCCTGACTTACTCTCTTTCACTTCCTGTCACGGCCATTCTCAGAGCCTCCTGGGCTCACATCAAGTAGCTGCCATGTCCCGGATGGTTCTGGCCCTCCTCTCCTGCCCTCCCCCGACTCTCCTTCAAGCCACCTGCTCTCTCACACGGCCTGCCTCAGGACCCAAACTCCTCTTGGCTCTGGACTCCTCTTGTCTCCTTTCTCTGCACTGGCCGCAGATCACGTCCTCCCCTTCCAAGGTGTCCCTTCTGGTGAGATCCGAATTGCTCATGATGGTTTTCCAGACCCTCCTCACGTGGCCTCAGCCCTTCTTTCCAGAACTTTCTTCAGCTGCTCCCCACAGAGGACTGGAGACCCTGCCATTCTTCCCAAATTGCCAACCCCCCTGTCTTCATTCATTCTAGTTTCTCATCTGGACACCTGTCCACTTTTCTATCTTTTGGGGCTCAAAGAAAATGCTGACTCCTCTTGGAAGCCTCCTGTACCTGCTCCTTATCCTTACCTTAACCTGGAAGTAAACTCTTCCTTTTCTGAGGTGCTGTGGTGCTCACCCATCTTGCTACATGTTCCCTGCCCACCCATCTAGTCAACAAACAGTTTTTGAGCCCCTATGTTTGTCAGCCCTGCCCCTACGGAGAAGAAGGGACACGTGTGACGGTCCAGGCACACATGGCAGCACAGGGAGAGTTGTACCCCGGGCAGCCTCTCGGGGTGGCAAGGACTCAGCCGGGGGGTGGGGTCACAGGAGGCTTCACAAATGCTCTGCCCTGTTCTCTGAGGATCAGCCCATGCAGACCCAGGTGGCCACATCTTGCACACGTGTCCACAGGATACCTGGTTAGCGGGCGTTGAGGGGTGAGAGCTGGACACCTGTTGAAGATAGATCTCAAAGGGCCCTGAATGTTAAGATAAAGAGTTTGGACTTTGTCCCACCAATGACGGGAGCCAGAGGCAGAGGAAGGAAATGGTTAGATGCTGACTCTGGTGGCTGCAGTGAATGGAGAGTTGGCTTTTTGTCTCTGCTCCCAGACTCGAGGCTGAACGGAAAAGGCCTCCCATCGCTGAGTCGGCTGCAGGGGTGAGTGGGCGGGCTTGATGGGCGGATGGGTGGACTGGAGACAGCAGGGGCATGGCGTCCAGCTCCTGTCCACTGGCTGCCAGGCCCAGCCTGTGTCATGCATGCCATCTCAGTGCTGCTTTGTTTCCATTTGTTTCATAAGCAGATGGGGGGGGGCAGGGATTCAGGGAGCGGGGTGGACAAAGAGCGCCCTGCTCCTAAGAGAGTGAGCTGGGTTTGAGCCAAGGCCTTCTGACCCCAAGCTCACCTGGTACCCCTGGAAGTGCCCACAACTGGCTGCAGATGGTGGCAGACCTGGCTGACCCTGAGACAGGCAGTAGGAGGACAGGGGGACAATTCCCAGCTGTGGGAATCAGAGCCAGCTGGATCTCTCCAGCCCTCTGCCCGGGGGGAGGCAGGCTCACCTCCCTTCCCCCAAGGTAAGACCCAGTCCTGTCCACCCTTGCTGCCCCCCAGGAAGGACACAGGAGGGCAACACCTGTGTGAGGGCGTGGTGAGCTCTTGTCAGGTTCCTCAAGGGCTCTGACCTTGCACCCGTTCACCCCCCAGCACAGATCCTATGTCGTTCAGTAGTCTGTGACCTACCTACAAGCTGCTTGCCAGGCAACCGTCTGCAGGCCATGCCAGATGGGCCTGGACCATGCCAGCCGGCCGGCCACAGCCAGAGCCAAGGGGAGGAGAAGCAGCTTCTGGACAGAGGCCACTCAGCCGGGCCATGTCTGCAGGCCGCCGGCAGGACGCAGGAAGTGGGCACCAGGGACAGCTGTGCTTGTGCCCTCTGCTCAGCACAGGCCCGGGCCTTCCCAACCCCTTCCCTGTGCTGCATGCTCAGGGCACACACGTGTGTCCATGCATCACACACATGCACACACACACACACACACACACGGCTCCTGGTGGTGAGCCCAGGGCCCGGTCCACAGGCCCAGAGACGGAGGCTTGAGTGATGGGGACAGTGATGGAGGATGAGCCGGGAGGAGGAGGGGAAGCCAGGTGGCCGGCGGCTCAGCTGAGCGCCTCTGCAAGTCCCTCCTCCCACCATATCCGCCCTCCCACTTCCAGGGCCACTGCAATCAGGGACATCGGATGCTGGAATCTGGGCTCAGAAGTGATGATGATGAGGTCAAGCAAGCGCCTAACTCTCCAGATGCTGGGGGAGGGGGCGTGAGTCCTCGCCTGCCCCAACCTGCTGGGAGGAGCCACAGGGCCGGGATTCCCCCTCGATGTGCGCCCGCCCCCGCCTCCCTCCAGCCAGCTCTGGCCGTTCCATCCACTGTGCCCTGGGGGCTGGGGATCCACCCTGTGCCTCTGGCCCTGCTCCCAGCCAGCCCCTTGTGGAGGTCAGAAAGGGTGCGGGGAGGTGTGGGGAGGTGACATGCTCAGACCACTCTCCACCTGGGTGCCTCTGGCCGCCTGTCATGGGAAGTTGTCTGGAGGTGATGTGTGACAGTGAGGGCCCTGCCTGCGATTCCCCCCAAGCTGGCTAGGCCCCTTGGAATCACTGGCCAGGTGACATCAGTGCCCACATGGGGCTCCAGACAGTCCCCAGGGAGGGATGCCCAGCCCTTGTCCCTCTGGCAGCTCCAGCGTGTCCGTCCTGGGGGAGGGCTGCCCAGAGGACAGGACTCTCAGTCCCAAGTCGGCACCCCACCCTCAAAAGCTCCGCTAAGCCAGCACACAGGGAACCCGGCTCCGACCCCCAAGCCCTGGAGCTTCTGTGGGCTCAGGGTCAGGGCGCAGCGGCCCTCCCTGGACCTGGTAGCCAGCGCTGGACCCCACGGGCAGGTCCTCTGTCTTCCTATATCCCTCAGCCCCCTCAGCTGCACCCCTGCTCCCTGTGGGCTCCCAGGGACCAAGAAGAGCAGAGCAGTGAGCTGGGGACCCCGCCCTGGGATGCCTGTCCGCCCCGGCTCCACCCAGGTGGGGCTCACCTTGAGGGAGTAGGCCAGGGCTATGAAGCCCAGGCAGCAGAAGTTCAGGTAGACAAAGTTGAAGATGGACCACAGGTAGTAGTCGTTCACCTCCGTGGTGTCGGGGTACACCTCGACGACTGTCGTGGGGTTCGTCATGGTCTTCTTCTCGGCCAAGTGCTTGCAGGCTGGGGGGGCGCCTGTGGCCCGCACGCTGTCCGTCTTGCTGCTCTTGGACTCCATGGGGAACAGAGTGGGCGCCATGGGGGGCGAGGCCAAGGGCTCGGGGGCTGGGGCCGCGGGAGCCTGTAGGGCAGGGGGCTTGGACACGCAGGCGAAGCAGCCTTTGGGGGACCCAGCCGGGGGTCTCGGGATCCAGAACGCCCCGTCCAGGGGAACTCGGGCTTCCTGGGTGCCGTCCGTGGTGCTGACGGGACTCCCAGCAGGGCTGGGCTCAGGCAGGGGCCCTGGGCCTGGAGGGAGGGCAAGAGTGAGCAGGAGGTGGGCCCTGTAGTCCACGGGGTATCTGCCCACTGCCCCACAGAGGTCCCTCAGGCAGCCAGCTGCCAGCCCCCACGGGCCTCCCCCACCCCACCGTGGTGCCGGCCACAGCTGCTGATGCCAAAGTCCTCCAGCAGCTTGGCAGCAGCCGGGGGCTTTTCACCACTTGGCCATCTGCACACAAAGACTCACCGACAGACACGCATGACAGCCCCCACGCCCAGAGATCCTGGCACACTGTTGCAACAAACAGCACCCCAGCACCCCGAAAGCCCCACGCCCACAGGACACACACACACATACACGCAGACACCACCTCAGCCACCAACTGCAAACTGGGCAGAGCTCTCCAAGCCACCTGCCCGCAGACAGGCTGACACTTCCTACATGGCCCGCTGCTCCCAGACCCCAGGCACACCCCGCCGCCGCGCGCTCTGAGACAGTCAGTAAACAACTCCCCACTGTGCCACGAGCGTGGATGCACTGCTCGGACGCTCCCGCCGAGGGTGAGCGCGGCTGCGGGGTCCCGGCGCGCCCCCACCGACCCCAGCCCAGACAGGTGCCTGGACCCCAGGCGCGCACATTCACATGGAGTCGCTCACCGGTGGTGCCACCAACCGACGCACAACAATGACACTCAGCGAACAAACACTTCTCCAACAAGATACA